TACATAGACCAGGCAGACAGACAGACAGACAGACATAGAGTCAGACAGACACAGACAGACACAGACAGACAGAACACAGAGACACGGACAGACAGTCAGACGTAGGTACAGACAAGACAGACACACAGACACGGACAGATACACAGATTAGCTAGATGGACAGACTCAGAGACAGACAGACAGACAAACGGAAACACACAGATACATAAACTAAGCAGACAGACAGACAGACAGGTCGACAGAGACAGACAGACACAGACCGGGCAGAGAGACAGACAGACACACAGACAGAGACACAGACAGACAGACACACTGATAGACAGACAGACAGACACAGACCGGGCAGACAGACAGACAGACAGACCACAGAGACACAGGTAAGACAGACGCAGAGACAGACAGACAGACAGATCGACGGAGATGGACAGACACAGACTAGGCAGACAGACAGACAGACTACACAGACACAGACAGACACACTGATACACAGACAGACAGACACAGACCGGGAAGACAGACAGACAGACGGACGCAGACAGACGCACAGACCACAGAGACAGAGACAGACACACAGACCGGACGGACACAGAGACACACGGACAGACACAGACAGACAGACAGACCACAGAGACACAGACAAGACAGACAGACAGACCAGATGGACACACAGACAGACAGCAGGGACAGACACACAGACACAGAGACCAGACAGACAGACAGACAACAACAGACAGACCACAGAGATTGACACACGGACAGACAGACAGACACAGAGACAGACACAGACAGAGAGACAGACAGACACACGGACAGACAGACAGACACACTTACACAGAGACCAGACAGATAGACAGACAGACAGACACGGACAGATACATAAAATGACAAGACAGACAGACAGACGCACACAGACACAAACCAGGCAGACAGACGGACAGATCACAGAGACACAGACAGACAGACAGACACTGATAGACAGAGAGACAGACACACAGACGGAGGAGACACAGAGACAGACAGACGCAACACAGGAGAGCGGACAGACAGACAGACATATGGACAGACAAGACAGAGAGACAGACAGACGCAGACAGACGCACAGATAAACAGACCAGGCAGACAGACAGACCACAGAAACACACAGACAGACAGATAGACAGACAGACCAAATAGACACAGACAGACACACGGATACATAGACCAGGCAGACAGACAGAGAGACAGACTCACAGACAGACAGACAGACAGACCACAGAGACAGATGGACAGACAGACACAAGCACTCACAGACAGACAGACAGAGACCAGACGGATACAGAGACAGACATACAGACACAAAGACGCACGGACACACGGACAGACCAGACACAGAGACCAGACGGACACAGAGACAAACACACACACACACAGACACAAAGACAGAGACAGACAGAGAGACCTAAGAATCCAGACAGATGGACAGAGACACAGACAGACAGACAGACAGATCACAGAGACACAGACAGACAGACAGACACAGACAGACAGATACACACAAAGACAGACAGACAGACAGATACATAGACCAGGCAGACAAACTGAGAGACAGACAGACACAGAGACACACATAGACAGACACACGGACAGACAGACAGACACACAGACAGACCGATAGAGACACAGACAGACACAGACAGACACACGCCAATAGACAAACAGACAGACACACGGACACAGACACCAGAGAGATAGACAGACAGACAGACACGGACAGGTACACAAAATGACAAGACAGACGGACAGACGCACACATACACAAACCAGGCAGACAGACAGACAGACACACAGACAGACAGACACAGACAGACAGACAGACGGATACACAGACAGACAGGCAGACACAAGAGACCAGAGAGATACACGGATACATAGACCAGACAGACAGACAGACAGACAGACATAGAGTCAGACAGACACAGACAGACACAGACAGACAGAACACAGAGACACGGACAGACAGTCAGACGTAGGTACAGACAAGACAGACACACAGACACGGACAGATACACAGATTAGCTAGACGGACAGAGTCAGAGACAGACAGACACAGAGACACACACATAGACAGACACACGGACAGACCAGATAGACAAACTGGATAGAGACACAGACAGAGACAGACTCACAGACAGACAGACAGACAGACAGATACAGAGACTGGACAGACACACAGACACACAGTCCAACGAGACAGACAGACATAGAGACAGACACAGACAGACATATGGACAGAGAAGACCGACAGACAGACATGTAAACACACCGACAGACAGACAGACAGACACAGGGACACACACATAAGACAGACACACAGACACCGAGACCAGACAGGCAGTCAGACAGACAGAGAGCTAGACACACAGACAGACACACGGACACAGAAACAAAGGCACAGACAGACAGACACAAGAGACCGGACAGACACACAGATTCACAGATCAGACAGACCCCAGAGAGACAGACAGACAGACAGACATGTAAACAAACACACCGACAGACACACAGACACAGCACACAGACACAGAGACAGACGGACAGACAGGTAGACGCAGACAGACAGACACACAGACCACAGACACGCTGATAGACACACAGAGAGACAGACAGACAGACCAGATATACACACAGACAGCAGAGACAGACAGATGGACACAGAGATGCACAGAGACAGACAGACACCTATACAGATGGACAGACACACAGAGAGATACACCACAGAGATACGGACAGACAGACGCACACTGATAGACCAGACACAGACAGACAGACACACACACATACACAGACCGGGCAGACCGCTAGACAGAGAGACAGACAGACAGACACAGAGACAGACAGACAGACACCAATAGACAGACAGACAGACGGACGCAGACGGACACACAGACCACAGAGACACAGACAGACACACGGATACAGACACCAGGCGGACAGACGGACAGCAGGGACAGACACACAGACACAGAGAACAACAAGACAGACAGACACAGACACAGAAACCAGACGGACAGATAGACAGAGACCAGACGGACAGACAGACACAGACGTAGACACTGAAAGGAGACAGACAGACAGACAAACGGAGACACACAGATACATAAACTAAGCAGACAGACAGACAGACCGCAGAGACAGACAGACAGACACAGACCGGGCAGACAGACAGACAGACACACAGACAGAGACACAGACAGACAGACACACTGATAGACAGACAGACAGACACAGACCGGGCAGACAGACAGACAGACACACAGACAGAGACACAGACAGACAGACACACTGATAGACAGACAGACAGACAGACACAGACCGGGCAGACAGACAGACAGACCACAGAGACACAGGTAAGACAGACGCAGAGACAGACAGACAGACAGATCGACGGAGACGGACAGACACAGACTAGGCAGACAGACAGACAGACTACACAGACACAGACAGACACACTGATACACAGACAGACAGACACAGACCGGGAAGACAGACAGACAGACGGACGCAGACAGACGCACAGACCACAGAGACAGAGACAGACACACAGACCGGACGGACACAGAGACACACGGACAGACACACACAGACAGACAGACAGACCAGATGGACACACAGACAGACAGCAGGGACAGACACACAGACACAGAGACCAGACAGACAGACAGACAACAACAGACAGACCACAGAGATTGACACATGGACAGACAGACAGACACAGAGACAGAAACAGACAGACAGACAGACAGACACACGGACAGACATAGACACGGACAGACAGACAGCAGAGACAGACACACAGACACCGAAACCAGACACAGACAGACAGACAGATAGACATAGAGTCAGACAGACCAGACAGACAGACAGAGACACACAGACAGACACAGACCAGACGGATACAGAGACACACACAAAGACAGAGACAGACAGACAGACGCAGACGGACAGACAGACAGACAAATCGGATCGAGACACAGACACAGACAGACACAGAGATTGACAGACGGACAGACACGGACACACACAGAGACAAACTACACAGAGACAGACAGACAGACGACACAGAGACACAGACGGACAGACAGACAGACAGGAGAGACCAGACCAATCACACAGACGGACGGACGGACAGACGGCCCCAGGGGAACAGGGAGGGAGACTCCTCAGCACAGTGCTCACCCGGCCCACGTTAGGCCCTGGGTGGGGGAGGCCTCGAAACCACACACGGAACACGCCGGAAGGAACCCATGGCTCAACAGTCATCTTCCCTCCCTCCTTCCCTCCCTCCTTCCCTCCCTCCCTCCTTCCCTCCTTCCTTCCTTCCTTCCTTCCTTCCTTCCTTCCTTCCCTCCTTCCCTCCTTCCTTCCTTCCCTCCTTCCTTCCTTCCTTCCGTCCTTCCCTCCTTCCTTCCCTCCTTCCTTCCTTCCTTCCCTCCTTCCTTCCTTCCTTCCCTCCTTCCTTCCTTCCCTCCTTCCTTCCTTCCCCTCAATCCTTCCCTCCCTCCTTCCTTCCTTCCTTCCTTCCCTCCTTCCCTCCTTCCTTCCTTCCCTCCCTCCTTCCTTCCCTCCTTCCTTCCTTCCTTCCCTCCTTCCTTCCCTCCTTCCTTCCCTCCTTCCTTCCTTCCTTCCTTCCTTCCTTCCTTCCTTCCCTCCCTCCTTCCCTCCTTCCCTCCTTCCCTCCTTCCTTCCCTCCTTCCTTCCTTCCTTCCCTCCTTCCTTCCCTCCTTCCCTCCTTCCCTCCTTCCTTCCTTCCCTCCTTCCTTCCCTCCTTCCTTCCCTCCTTCCTTCCCTCCTTCCCTCCTTCCTTCCCTCCTTCCCTCCTTCCTTCCCTCCTTCCCTCCTTCCCTCCCTCCCTCCTTCCTTCCCTCCTTCCTTCCCTCCTTCCCTCCTTCCTTCCCTCCTTCCCTCCTTCCTTCCCTCCTTCCCTCCTTCCCTCCCTCCCTCCTTCCTTCCCTCCTTCCTTC